GAAAGGGGTAAATGCCCATCAGTTAGCCAGCATCCCTTCCAGTGACAGAGCTCAGGGGCCTCACATGAAACTAGCGGGAACCTAGTTCAAAGCAAAGAGGCGAGTGTCCATGCAAGAGACCACAGGCAAAAGAACGGCCAAACTTTATGGAAGAGCCATCCAGTCTGCTTACACGAACACTGCCTTCAACTCAGGAAGCTCTGGAGTGGAAAACAGGAGCTGGGAGATTTGCCTTAGGCATATGTTTTCTCAGGCACTGAAATAACTGGACTTGGTACTGCCCTTCTTATATGTTATTATAAACTTATTTTTTCATATCTAAAGAGAAGTTAATAGAAGCATTGTAAGCCAAGCAATTTTATGGTAACACTGTAAACCATACGAGAACGCAGAAAATGAGCCATTGCCTTACACAGGGGAAGGCAATAATGAAAAGAAAGCATGAATTGCTCATTATCTGTGGTGGTACAGAAGTTTGAAACAGCCACTTTGCTTCTTTAAGGTGGTTTATAAATTTGAGAAATCAATATTTCAGGCATCAGGCTCTGCATATATCTTTTTACATACAAAATAATGTTTCCTTCATTGGTGAGCCAAATACTCTTTTCATACATAAGATGAATACCAGGCACTCGTTTTATTACATTCATATAGTACATTGTACAATTTCAGCTAGAGACAAGTTCCATAAATCCTGATAAATTCTTTCATTGTTCGAAAGCAAATCTGCAGGATGCATAAAGTATAAAGAGTTAGATACAGACTCACCAGTGGCTTTGTGATAACTGTTCTCCCATCAGAGTCAATGATAACTTGAACACTGATCAATGCTACAGCGGTCTAAAACATGTCAGAGGGTTTTGTTGAGAAAGCCCACCCAAAATATGTTGTGGTCAGTTCTAAATTAAACCTCATCTTCCCCTCATGTTCACAGTCAACACTGTAATGGATCGGAGCTTTTACAGGTTGTACTACACCATGGCACTTTGGATGTGGAAATGCAGTCAGGAGGAAGGACTCAGTGACAAATTGGACTCAAAGCTATGAACACAAAAGCTCAGAATTCTGCTCTAGTTAATGGCGAGGTCAAGAGAGAGTTAGTTGTTGTGTTTGGCGTTGGCAGGCACTGATCACTGGAATTTCCCCAATGTGTTTGCTTTGTTCAAGAAGAGGAAATATATAGAAGCTGTTATGGCATGGAAACTCCTTTATTGGCCATTTATGCAGAAATCCTTTTCATGGATGAGAGTATTTGGCCCATAATTTGACAGTTTGCTGACAGTAACTAATATCTGATGGGAATTTGGTGACAACAGCAAATTTGAAGTCCACCACTGACACAAGAGACATCCGTATTTTGGCAAGAACATAGTATTTGAAGTCATCGTGTTAGCCTGCCTGCTCTTTGGGCAACTAAGTGGAACACAGAGCACTCCCAGGTCTAATCATCATCAAAAATACTAGGAGAAACAGATATTGTTCCTCTTATTCCAACATTGGCTGCTTTTGAACAGGATGTTCAAAAGGATCAAGAATCTTTGAAGAGACTGAAATTAGAGAGGGATATTCTGTATCAACCACACATCACATATATTGGAGTGAAACACCCCTGCTGTGAGGTGGTAGCCCAGCTATATTATTTCTAGGGCTCCAGTGTGTCACCTCCAGACAGAACTACTGTGCTGCATGGATAAATCAGTTCCCTCTGAGACACAGGGCTGGTTTTGCTGCATGCCTTGACTAGTGTAGGTATGGCTAAAGCAAACAATTCCTTCTTGTGCCTCTTCCAAAAAAATGAAGCGCAGATTTCTCTGCATTACTCACAGTGTCAGCGGCTGTGATACTGTCACTCTTGTTTGCTGCAGCAGAAACAGGGACTGTGGTTTGAATCGTAGGCAAACGTTCCTGAAATGTCTTTTGCAAAGTACATAAAAAAGACAAAGTGTGCTAACAGGGGAGAACTTGCCATCCTTTGCATCCACAACTGTGCACAAAGGAGAAATAAAATGCACAGTAACATTCCCTAAAAGTTTGATTTGCAGGATGCTCTTCTGAACAATGAAATACACGTTTAGGAAGCTGACTGCACAAATTGCTTTCTCTAAATATATATAACTTTCCATGGGGAATTCTGAGGCAGCAGAGGATGAAGAGAAGGAAAAAATCTCCCAACCAGTCCTTGCAATGCTATACCTTGCAATTTCACACTCAACTCAAAATACAGCCTAGATCTTAATGGTTAAAACTCCCAGCAAACGACATTTCTTGTATTTTCCAAGGACGGAGTAACGAAAGCTACACGATGATCTGTGAGCAATGTCACCTGTAAATGTATGAAGGTAAATAAGTAATAGATATACTGGAAATGCAGCCCAGAACAAAAATAACCTAAATCTTGATGGGAACAATGAATAATTCACAGGCCATATCACTAGAGTGACCACAGGCGGGTCTGTACAGAGTCCAGGCTCACTGTACAAGTAATTTACAGCTCAGGAAAAGTGAACACTGCCTAACACCACTGCTGATGGCAAGCAATCTCATCAAGCCAAGTCAGCAGCTCGGCAAACATCAATGCACCCGAGGCACTGCCATGGCAATGACTTCAGATGGGGCTATACCCTGATCCCCTGCGCGTACCTCTAGCAGGGCTGAGTCTTCACTACCCTCTGCGCTGTTTCCATTGAGAGATAAACGACGACCTTGACAGCTTGCTGTTCAGAAAGAGGAGAAATCCCCAAGCGGGGCTTCAGGGCTAAATTGTTCTGAGGGTTAGAGAGGGTAAAGCAGGTATGTCACCAGTGGACCAGGGGAACCTGAGATAGCCAATGGTATAAACACTGCCTGAGCAAAAAGACCTGTTACAAGAATAATCGTAATTCTATCACAAGGGACAGCTAAAAACCAACAGCGCATTGCAATGTGGAAGGTGCCTGAACATCAGTATTGAGTTTCATTAGCAGTAGGGGTATGCATTTCCCACAGAAAATTCCATAATCAGTTTTGATCATGAAACCTGGCTGAGAATGGATAACACTCTATGAGGAACTGTTCCTCTAAAATGCTTGGTTCCAGAGACAGGCTGTCAGGAAAGATGCATGCAGCAGCCCTGACCTCATTCTACAGAAATTACAAAAAAGCCTTTCACGAACCAAGGTCTGTAGTTATTCCCAAATAAGACATGGCTACTCTGCTCTCCTAAAGGCAGGTTCCTTCTCTGCAGAGATCCTCCTTTGTCATCCCCTAGTTCTGCTTAGTTTCTGCAGCTGTGAACATCCCTGTTCTGCCAGAACACAAGGCGAAGACTCTTTAACCTTGCTAAGCCTTTGGTACCAAAGTTGTAGCTGGAAACAGCTATTTGCTAAATACAAATTTTCAAGCACCTTAAAAATCTAAAACTAAGTACTGCCTTCTACATCTGTTTTTCTGGAACATGCAGTGACAACCCATACACTGACTCCAACCTGGAATTTCAAAGGATTACAATCCTAGTCAATGCCTTTCTCTGGTTCCCAGTTAGAGCTGACATTTCTCATCTTCACCAGCAACTCAAGCACGGTACACTTCATATGCCAGTGTTACGATCACATGCTCAGCAAAGAAAAGCACATGTGCTTCAAAGTCAGCTAAAGCCCATGAAAGACTCCAGTTCACTTGAACTGGTGTGAGATTAGAACTGTAATCCAAATATTTGCACCGATGCAAGAACTTAATGTAAATAGCAGCATGCCACTGTGAAAGCATCATACAGGTTAGGTGGAACTCTTCAATAAACTTCCCCATGATGCTTAAAAGGGAAAACACCAGCATCAGTCCAATCACAAGACCAGGTTTCTTAAGAACTTACTAACTCTCTGTAGGGGTACAGGAATGTATTTATCAACAGGATAGACAGGGCGGGTAAGAAAGCAGTGACACAGGTATTTCAAAACAATGTGTTCCTCTCAGCGGGAGGTGTCCAGCTGCCAAGCAGTACATGCTGCTTTCATTGCTATTTCTTATCTTCCGTAAAGCAAACCACGGTGTCAGGACCTGGCTTGCTTTCTGCCAGTCGGCACACAGTAAGCAGACACTTGCACATGTGACGGAGGCAGTACGTACACCTCACCTGTAACCATCCACCTGGCAGCTCGCTCTTTGGATGGGTGAAACCCAGTGGCTGCCCATCACTAAAGGACAAAGCTCAACGTGGGCACTTGCTTACCCCAAGAATTATGAGTTAATTTACATTTGCCTCATTGTTTCACTGGAATAAGCCCAAACAGGTTTCATTCTTTAAGTTCATCTCGGGAAAATAAAAAATGAGAATCCAAGGTAGTTCAACTAAAGCAATTCCTTTATGACAAAACTGAGAAAATACTGCTTGTAGCGTGTGGCCTCAGTACTGGGAGAGGATTCTTCAAGGCAAATTTCACCCCCCAGGTGGATATTTATTTTCCTTTAGATTACTTGCATGTACAGAAAGAAGCATGATTAATATACGGCATAACTGAGCCAAGCAAACAGATGATTTAATGAATTTCTCTGAACCACTCTTAATTGCACCAGAGGACACAGCATTTGTGAAAACACCATGAATTGAACAGCACCAGGAGTTTACAGAGACATTCAAACATTAATCTTTCTTTTGAAGAGAAACTGATTTTTGTACAGGCTTATAAGCCAGTCGAGTTTAAATTAATTTCTGTCTGAGAGCAGAAAGTGGCACTTATTTGGGACTTATAGGCTGCATGCCAAGACTTTATGCGGACACAAATGTCATTCATTTAGACTGGAAGGAGCAACATAATAAAAATAAGCAGGTAGATATGTCTGTTCAGTCAGACATTTCACATCTACACAGCATTGAAACGTGGCTGCTGTACGACTACCTGCTGGCTGGGATTGGTTCGTTTCTGATACCACTGACTCAACAGATCCATATTCCTTCTTCCTTAGTGTTTTTGGATGCTGGTTCACAGACTGTTCTTTTATTTAATTCTCTTTTTGTTTTGTGTCAGGGCGAGTGTTCCCAGAAGTGCTATTACATCTTCGTCATAGAGACCATCTGTGTGGCTTGGTTTTCCCTGGAGTTCTGCCTCCGATTCATTCAGGCAAGGAGCAAGTGTCAGTTCTTCAAAGGACCCCTAAATATCATTGACTTCTTGGCTATTTCACCCTATTACGTTTCCCTCATCTTCTCAGAGGATGACTCAAATGAGGAGGATGACAGGCCAAGCAGCAACACATATTTGGAGAAGGTTGGTTTGGTGCTACGGGTTTTACGTGCCTTGAGGATCTTGTATGTAATGCGCCTTGCCCGACACTCCTTGGGCTTGCAAACTTTGGGCCTCACAGTTCGGAGGTGCACACGGGAATTTGGCCTGCTTTTACTCTTCTTATGCGTGGCTGTCACTCTGTTTTCTCCTTTGGTCTATCTCGCCGAGAATGAATCTGGGAAGGTGCTTGAATTCACCAGCATACCCGCTTCTTACTGGTGGGCTATCATTTCAATGACCACGGTGGGGTACGGAGACATGGTCCCACGGAGCGTCCCAGGCCAGATGGTGGCTCTGAGCAGCATCCTCAGTGGGATTCTCATCATGTCTTTTCCTGCAACATCAATATTCCACACTTTCTCCCATTCCTACTCGGAGCTGAGAAAAGAACATGAACGGCTGCAATCTCGGCTAAACAGAGTGAAAAATGCCAATAACTCCGGTGAAAGCGACACCTTCAATGACACAGACAGCTTGATCCTGGAGGATCAAGCATCACCAATCAAATACATTTACACAGGGAACTAAGCCTGCTTATAAAACCTTCCCAAGAACAGGAGAAGAAATACACACATACGTACATCAACATATCCACAAAGCAAAGCAACAGCATAGGGTACGACGCTATTCTTCTCTGCCAGCCTAGGTATAACAAGCAGTCAAGCCAGCGCAGCCAGCTCCAGCGCATCTCTACAGAGCTGGAGGTTTGGCGACTGTCAAAAGTCAGAGTTTATTCGCCAATAAATATGCATTCTCTGTGACTAATAAGAATAAACTGTGTCTCTGCCAGTCGTGTATCTTGCTGAATACCTAATATCCAACCAGTAACCAACAAAACAGTTTCTGTTGGCACAAATACACTTGTTACTTTGCCTTTGAGTTTCCGATGTTCTTGCAATTAACATCTTGAGCCAAGCTTTAGAATGGATTCTTCCAGGGCTACGCACCAGGGTTGTTTATACAATGCTCGTCCACCAGGCACACAGGAGACGCCTCAATACAAATCTGAATTCTGTATCTAAAGCCACTGATAAGCTTAAAATAAAAGCACTGTATGTGAAAGCTTTCAAAGTTTGCCTGTAGCCAGACGATCAATCTATGAATAACGAATTGCACTGCTGTTGTATAAAACACATCGTGTTTGCAAGAGAACCTGCTTGAAATGCAGTTGCGGTCTGCAAACTGTAAGCATTTCATACTGGACAGCAAAAGTTTTCAAACTTCTTTTTCATACACTTATTTAAAATAATAACGAGGAATAAAAAACCTGAGCTTATTGACCACGTTAAAAAGAGTTGGCGTCATCTTTTTTACTGAATGGCAATGTCTTCTCTGGAAGAAGGATAAAAAACAGCTATTGAAAATGAGATGACAGGTCAGAAGTATCCAGAGGTGTAAGTAGTAAAGAACAAGAGGAACAATTGCCAGAGAGGCAGTGGGAATGATTTTCTAATGCAAATGGGAGGTGTTCCTTTTGGGATATTCAAGCATGGCCAGAAGAAAGAGACAGAACTACAGAGAAGTTTCCAGTGCTCTTTCAGGGGATAATCTAGACGATCACCCACAATTCCACATTTAGACGTGGTAAATGCAGTAAGTGATAGCGGATCCCAAGAGACGCAGGCCTGGTCCATGCTCAGGGCCTGTGGCAGCTCGGCTACCCGCAGAACACCTGGAATGTTGGGCATGTATTGAAGTCCTGAGATAAGTCAAAGCCCGAATTATTTTTTAATCCCATTTTCAGCTTTCATTATTCCATTTCTTACATCTTACCAAGGTCCCCATGACCTTGGGACAGAGCAAAGCTCGGTGGAGGGACTGTTCAGTTCCAGTGTACAGGCACTGTTCTGGCACAGAAGGGTATTCCCAGGCGCTGTGAGCCCTCTCCCACGTGGATGTACAGACACAGGCACTTGCAGTTATGCAACCCCACACAGGCATTTGGGAGTTTGGGTTTTTAGACACTATCCTCACTGCGCTGCATAGCTTAAGTACAGAAAAGCACAGTTGTTGGCACAATTTGGAGCACGTGACTCAAATTAATCTCTTGGATTTATCTTGTATTCCCAGGCGCTGTGAGCCCTCTCCCACGTGGATGTACAGACACAGGCACTTGCAGTTATGCAACCCCACACAGGCATTTGGGAGTTTGGGTTTTTAGACACTATCCTCACTGCGCTGCATAGCTTAAGTACAGAAAAGCACAGTTGTTGGCACAATTTGGAGCACGTGACTCAAATTAATCTCTTGGATTTATCTTGCTATTGACCCTATGATTTAAACCAGAGAAACTGTAGCAGATTATAGAGGGGATGTTCCTACACAATTGGAACAAGTCAACACTAGATGACAGGCATTTATATTGGCCACAAAATGGGTGGAATTTCTGCTGCTTTATGTATAGGTCCATCTGATTTTTTTTTTTTTTCCAATTAGCATTTAATTTTGCCAGCAATTTTCTACAGCAGGACTAGTTAGATGGCAAACCAGACAAAATCCAGGCAATTTTCTTAGGAAAAACAATTGCACACTGCCAAAATACCCAGCACAGTCCACTTCTGCCCCTCTGGTCTGGGAGAGCCAAGGACAGTGCTTGCTCCCTGCTGACTGAACCCTGGCAGGACATGTATCCTGACACAAAATAGCCACATGTTTAAAAAGACATTTCTCCCCACTGACACATTCTTTAGAAATACAAACAATTAGGTAGTGCAACTGACTTGTTTTTCCTAATTCACAGTTTTCTTGCTAGTTCAGCAATTAGTTCACCATGGTCCCACAGTTAATTAGCCCAGCTACATTGCCCTAAACATGCAGATAGCTGGAAAAATATTGTGGCTTTTACTGTCCAAGTGCTTGTAAGTGCTTAATGTCCAACAGGTTCTGTGACGTAGGTGGGGCTGTGGACATAACACGCATCCAAATTCACAGCAATCCAAACCTTGGCTCAGTCAAGCATTTAAGCTTGTGTAAGTTCTTGCAAAACACAATGTAAGAATATGCCGAAACATGGAGGTAAAACACAAAACCAAACAAAAAAAAAAAATCACACTAGTGTTTAACAGCGATGTACATGCTTGTACTTTCAGCAGAATAAGGACCATTTATTTCTGTTTCTAACTTAATCTTTTCCTATGTCTGGGTCTGGGCTACACCAGCTTTCACAGAAAATGTCCTTCATGATTCATGGTGTTACTAGGCAGGGAAAAATATGTTGAGAGGAACATTTAGTTCCTGTGTAACTCAACTGAGTAACAAATTCAGAACAAGCAGTTACAATTAGCAGCTAATGTTGTTGCCAAGATCATATCATTTCATAACCAGACTTAATTAAAAGAGCAGTTTAGGTGCCTGGCATGCAGCTTCTTTTAGTTCAAAGCCTTTTCCCTGGATCTGTATCCTAGAGGCAGCAAAGGCACAGCCCCCATTATCGAGGGGAAACCATGTTGTTCAGCCCTCACCAATGGATTATGCCTCTTTTTAAGCTTAGAGTTGATATTCTGATATACAACAGCTCTACTGTATAATAGGGGACACACAAAACACCCCATCTTGCTGCTTCGCTGTGGGAAGTCGATGGATACCCTGCTCCGCAAACCAGCCAGGGCATGACAGAATCACGTGACAACCCAGTACAGCACCCTTCTCATTACTAGTCTGACTTGGAACCAAAACACAGCGAATGGGTTCTGATCACAGACTATATAGAAATTTGCTATGATGTTGAAGTAGTACTGAGGAGCTAAGGCTTTGCTTTGACCTAACACATCTCTGCAGGGGTTCTGTGCGTTGTTTGGAATTCTCATTGCAGCCCTCATACCTCCTGGCTGTCCTCCAGCTGTCTCTCCTCTTTGACTCCCATCAGTTTCCCTGCTAGAAAAGCATTACCCCTTTTTTTGTTCAGAAAATTATTTTAATACCTTGCAGTAATCTATAAATAACGATGAAAACCTAGAAGGTCAAGGAAATGAAAAGTACAGCACATTCCCTGAAGGAGCATTAGAAAGTTTTTACTTCTACAAGTAATAAATTATTAGTCACGTGCCAAAGTTAAAACTGATAAGAGGCTGATATAATACTCATGTTTCCTAAATGGAGTCTGGTTGCTGCATGGTAAAAAGCTAGATCTCTCTAGCACTTTTTATGGAAAGTATTAAATCCTGTCCTGTGAATGGTTTTGCTTCTGTAGCAATGGCTTATCCAAGCTAAAATGGGCTTTCACTGCTTCCATGAGTCCTAGCCATGGCACAATACCTGGAAAGCCCTCAGAATGGGACAAGGCTGGGAATATCTCAGGTACTCAGTATGCACGCTGGGTTCTCTGCTGGCCTCCGACATGGGGCATTCAACCCGATTCTCCCAGCAGGCAAAGCACAAGGACTGAGCTGAACGCTCCTCACTCCTTATGGGACACCAGCACTCAGCTCAGCCGAGCTCTGCAGAACTCTCTGACTAGCCTGGGCAAACTGGCTGTTGCACATGGGGTGCAGATCATGTTAGAAACCTTCAGTTCTTAATTTGCAATATTGGGATGCAGTCTATGGCTCAAGGTTACTCTGCTGGTTTTTTCTGGACGACTAAAATGACACAAGGAAGAGATGATGAAGAGAAAGAACTAAGGCGTTTCCGTTCCCTCCGTGTGTCCTTACCATTTTAGTTCCAACAGACGCTAATTTTCAAAAACCTATTTTCCCCAAAGTTGTGTTCCTGTAGTTCTTATGCCCGTATCTGATCTCCCTGAACAGCTCACAGAGGGGTAAAAACCTAACCCAAAGCTACTTCACTATAAGAGAGATCTGGCATTCACAATAGTACCAAGGAAACCAGGTCAAAATTGCAGGCCTGAATCATCAGCACCAAGCAGAAGGTCTTAGGGAGCACCTTAGTGGAATAATACTGTAGATTCAGCAAGAGGGATAAAAATCCAGCTCAGATTTCATTATTTCCATACTTGATCACTGCCATAACTACACCAGTTGTAAAATTCAAGCTTATGTCTCAAAGGGAAGGGCCATAAAAGCCCCTTCGGGTATTTCTTTCCTGGATGTTATAGTCTGTTATATCACCAGTAATAAGTTCCATAACTAGGTAATAAAACTTAATCATCCTGAAACAACACTTAAAATTTTTAAATCTTAAATGACAAGGTCTACTGCTTCATACCTGACAATTTTGTGTAAAACAATCTTTTAGGATTTAACGTATTAGCACAGAACTCTATGCAAGCATATAATGAAGTCATAACATCATCTAAGTCTTCCTGCTTGCCAGTTCCAGCATTCAGCCAAATGTTGGTCAGTTCAGCACCAACTACAAGTCAACAGGCTTTATCTCAGCTTCTTCAAAATAATTTCTTTCATCAGTTTTCAAGAAATCGTGACTGCTCTCAGTAAGAAGAAATGGAGTGGTACAGAATCATCCTTCTGGCTAAAGTGAAAGGATATGGGGTACAATTTGTATTGACCTAGAGAATCCAAGGATGTTTCACTTAATTTCAGACAAACAGCACAATCATTTGCTGCTGTTCC